CAAGTACCGATCCAAATTCATCCTTCATATTTGTTGCCGTCGCTTCCACGTTCTTTCGCTCACATTTCGTTTTGGCCCAAGCCATACAGGCATTGACAACCACCGATGAGCTGCACTTCGGCAACACCAATTTCAGTATTTCGCCCAATGTCTCCTGGGTGCATTCCAAAAACTCGGTGGATTTCATCACTCCTTCTGGATTCTGTTTGATCTTTTGTCCGCAGAATTTTACGACTTTTCCCAATTCCAGCCGAAGCGCCAATTCATACCCTTTCGACATATTATTGATAGTTAGCATCTTTTGTAACGCTTTTTCGCAAAGAGCCAACCCGTCAGCCACTTGATATCGGTTACACAAATTCGTCACCGTGAAGATGTTTTCAAGTGTTAATATAACATTGCTGCCATAAAAGAACTGCAAAAACTCTGTCAATGCGTCGAGAGATGTGTCAGCCATTTGAACGTCGAGTTCGTTTTTCATTGGGCCATTAAACATGAGCTCAAATACAGGGCTAGCAGCAGACAGAATGATTTTATGGGCTGGAACATATACGGAATGATCGTCACCGATAGTAACCACCAAATTAACATCGGCTGTCATCGAGTTTAGGTACAGCTTCTCACCAATTTTCAGTAGTAAATTGTTGTTTCCATTGAACGATTTGGCACTCATTGTAAATGGATGGTTTTGAACTTGGCGTCAAAATGTGTTGAAAAAGACAATGGTTTTGGTGTCAAAATGGGTAGAAAGAGACTGCAATGTGGGGAAATGAAAAAATTAACTTTAATAATTAATTAAGACGAAGATATTCATGGAAATTTCTTCAAAATTGAATTGAAAATCTTCCATTCACCCTTTTTGTCAATTTGATCTTCAGATTTTTGGTCAACAACCGTTGAATGCACCCAAATGGATAATCCTATTAAATCTGCTGACGCTACGGAATAAGAAAGTGAGTCAGTCTATTGCTTTCACTTTTTCAAAGCAATCATACATAGGTTCTGACACTGGAAAACCTGGGGTAGTCATGGCCGACAATCGGTAGAGGTTCCAACTAAAAATCCTCAATCGATTTCAATTTGCCAGCCGAAATTTTTTTTTTCCTAGTGTTAAGGTTCTGAGGTATTGAGGAATGGTTCCTAAACGATATGAGTGTCAATCCGACCTATTCGATCGATATCAGAACCCATGCCATCAGAGATAAGTACTTACTTTTGCTGTGTTTATTCTCCAAAAAATAACTTTTCGATAATAATGCTTCAAATGTTTAAAATGTTAAATGATATGAATTGATCCAAAAATGTAATCGAAATAGAGACCGAAAAAATGTTTATTTTAATTCTTGGTCAATCAATAGCTGATGACAAAATGACTCTTATTGTACAGTTACGGCCACTTTCTTATTCTTCTTTTCCTTCAAGCTTTGACAGATCACCACTGAACGAATGAACGAAGACACCGTTGGATGCGTTCAATAGATAGTTGTAATTTTCAACAAACCGCTAAACTTTAATCATACAAAACTCCAAACTCTGAATCATTAAATATGAGACCGTTAGAAA